GTTTATGATTATAAACGAGATTGTATTTCTCGCGCATGCGTATGATGAATAGAACTTCTCGAAATTGTGCTCATAGGTGGTACATGAGTGGCCGTATTATTAGCATAGTACAGATGCGCATATTAAATGTCCTTTCACAAAATGTTTTAAGGTTTTTTTCAAAAGTGCGCTGTCAATATAAGCAAGGTTCATACATTGTCAAATTGTGGAGCAAAAAAATGATCAGTACTTGGACCAAAACTCGAAATGGAAAAAGCAAATCTCTCAAGTTCATGAGGAACGTTTGTTTATTTTATCAAAGAGAAATTTATGCAAAACTAGTAGATAAAAAACATTAAAACTCTTGCCCTTAATGCCCTTAAATGTTATGAAAACTATTCAGCATTTTAAAGATTTGGTTGATCCATGCGTGTGAAAAGATTACAGGTCACTAGATCAAAACTAGCGGAAATATTATAAATACTAAAATCATCAGATATCTGATGATTACGAGTGATAACAGTGTAATTTTGAATCATTAACTATTAGGAGTAACAAAGACAAAAACGTACTTATTCTGGAATAAATTTAACCAAGAACATATTGCAAGGCTATTTATTTACTTGAAGAATTTTTTTTATTCCGTTACACTTGTTGCAAGTACTGTTACTGCGGACTTCAGTACAGTAAAATAATTCGTAAACTTGCATAGTACCAGAAGCCATATATAAGTTTTCCTTCTTAGCTGAATACTTTCTTCAATAAATTTAAATTTAACGCTATCCGCAACTACCGCACTCACTAATATCTGGCCTGCCAGTGAACTTAGTTCCTGAAGTAAAATTATTAATCAGTCACCTTATCTTATCTTTAGCACATAAAAACTAAAAGTAACAGAAACTAACCAAAATTAACCAAGACGCTTCTTAGGGCTCACACAACGAGAGAAATTGATATTGGCTCCTGATTAAGGAATATGATCATTCTAATTTGATCCTTTTTTGATGAATATGATCCATCCAGTCCCAATGATTTCACACGTTCTTCACATTTCACAAAACCTTACAAGAATCCAAGCACACAGGTCCACAGGACTTTGCAAACAAGGTGATAACCTGATACATCTGCACTGATACGTTAATTACCTTTTCAAATAAGTAAATAAATAAAATAAACTAAATTATTAGAGGTCGATCAAAAAATATTTAAGAGAGACCATCTTTTAAACATTATTAAACAAATTATGCAGGGTTCAAAACATCCACCACCTTTAATATTTGAACTTGGGCCTGGAAGCTTCAGAGTATTATGTATCTAAACTTTTTATCCCATTTAAGTGACTACCCTGCATGTCTAGTAGCTAAATGTAAATATACCAAACAAAAAATATCTGTGATCTATTTTTTTGTTCTTCAGCGTATGATCGACGGAGCGCCGGCAGTACCGACTAGAACAAATTTTTATTAGTCGCTGAAACGGAGCATTAAAAAAGAGCAATAAACCATTATTCCGCTTTTTCTAGCGATAAACCACTTTAATAGGCCGTACGGACTGCCAGACATAAACAATATTAATTATACCACCACACGGTGGGAGCAAAGTCCGGTCTTTTTGTTGGGACGAAGTGACTCTTCTCTCGCTAGACATCTATTAGATGAGAAACTTTGTAATTACTCTCGAGACACCGCAGCATAAAAAGCTGGCATTCCTGCCGATATCGATCGAGCCGAGTTGTTAAAACACAATGCTGGATAGATACAATCCATTTCGCGTTTCCACACAGCAATTGATAAAATATATTGAAATATATAATATAAACCACTTTACTCCCAAAATAAATAAGAACTAAAAGTTCAGATTTTCACGACATTGTAATATTTACAAACTACCTGTCACTATCTATACCGAAAATGACATAAATCCTGCTGCACGAGAAGAAGTATTTTTTAACAATTATGGATCCACAACCGCCGAAATTATATTCTTTAGTTAAATTACATAAACAAGATATGCCAATTAGACCAGTCGTATCTTATGTAACGGCTCCAGCAGTTAACCTCTCAACAAAATTAGTAAATATGTTAAATTTCCACACAGTTTTAAACCAATAAAAAATTCTTTTGAATTAATTAACAAAATTAAAGATATCAAAATCCCTTCTAACGCAAAACTATTGTCCTTTGATGTACAAAACTTATTTCCCAGTATTCCACCTATGGATGTGATAGATTTAGGAGATTTCACCCTAACTCGGAATCAGGTTAACCCATTGGTGAGACAAGATTTATTAGATTGCTTAATGGTATCTTTAGACCAAAATTATTTTGAATTTAATGGACAAATTTATATCTCTGAAGAAGGTTTGATTATGGGAAACCCACTTAGTCCTTTGTTAGACGAGATTTTTATGGATAATTTGGAAAATATCATACTAGAACATCCTTTAAGTAAAAGTTTTTTATGGTGGTATAGAGACGTGGATGATGTCTTTGCTTGCTTTGTTGAACGGACAGACAATTGAATTCTTTTCTAAATTACATTAACTCATTACATAATCTTATAAAATTTGCTATCGAGATTGAACAGGATAACTCAATGGCTGCATTTAACTCTTTGATACACAGACTTCTTAATACGCCACTCTCAACAGAAAATTACAACAATGAACTTAATATCATTAACCAAATTGCATTGAACAACGGCTACAATCCGTCTATTATAGATAAAATTATAAATAAAATACAAATACAGTAAACTCTATTTATCCGAAACTTAATACAGAACACGAACAATTGAAAACAAACATACATACATAGGAGAACCTAATGAAAAAGTTTCAAAACATTTGTCAAAATGTGGTTTAAAAGTAGCTTTCAGAACTAACAACACAATAGGAAAATATTTAAAAAACAATAAAACGAAATGTCCAAAATCCAAAAATCAGTTTACATACAGCCACAAAAACTAGAAAATTTAATTTGTTGAGACATTCAAATGTATTGCTTAACGATCAATTATTTTATTGACCTTAAATTCTCACAACGTTAATTAAGGATTTATGGCCATTTTTCGGTATATATAGTAGCAGGTAGTTTGCAAATATTACATTTGATAACAAGTGTCCTGTCAAAATATGTAATTTCGTGGAAATCTGAACTTTTATTTCTTATTTATTTTGACCATTGCGTCTCGCTAAAAAAGTAACTGTTTTGAGGAATTTAACACTCAGCATTAATTCATTGAATACATAGTTGCATTAAAAAAAAACGCAAGGAAAATATTTTTTACCTTATTTTTCGTAGACTATAACAATCATACTGCATGAAGTCTGAATGGTCTGAATGATGGGTATTGCCAAACCAACAGAAGAATGTTTATTGTAACATTTGAATTGAATTGAATTTTCTAAAAAAACCTCTTTTGGATGCCCTGGTGTCCGTGATAATCATCTAGTTAGCATAATTTTAACTAAATCTACAGGGTGCACTATCGAGTTTTAATGTCGTACATAACCTCTCTTGGAAGTCTTGTTTTACTCTCCAAGTCACCTAGTACTATCAAAGAAAAGCAACTTTCAGTTTCTGTATAGTTCGGGGTTTCTTAGCGTCAGTAAGAGGTCTTTTGCTTTACGTTTCCTCTGGAAGTTTGTGGTGAAATATATTTTGTGCTTGACCGCTGAATATCTTTAATGTGGAAATTATGAGAGAGAAGAGCAGAGGTAAGGTGTTTTAATTCTAGGTTCAGTGACTCTCAGGCTGAGATAGTTTTGCGGCTCTGTAAACAAGAGCGTTGATAACCGATGAATTTGCATTAAAGGTTTCGGTCTGTGTTCGTAGGTTTTCTGTAAAGATAACGACCCAATGTTAGGTCTGATTTTCTATTGATAAAAATATCTAAGAATCATTAGTTTCTAATTTAAAGGTTTTATGTTAGGGTCTAAGAAAATCTGATAGGGATTCTTCACCATGAGGCCAAATAACAAAAGTTTCCGTAGCGTTTCCATAATTGTGGTTTTAGATGGAAGGTGTCGAAAGCATTTTTCATTTCAGGCGAGAAGGTTTGGTTCCAGATTCTCTATATATGTGTCCGGTTTCGTGATTGTGTTGGTAGATTAAATGATTACATACCAGAATTTTATTTGATAAAAATAAAATTCTTGCATGTAATCAATTCTTCTACCAAAGAAAAATCCGAGAGTCTATAGAAATTTATAAGCAACGTAACAATGTTAACCGCGACTCAGGTCTCTACCTGTCACCAATATGGGAATCAGTCATCCGAGATGACATTTATAGCCCTCACTTAGCTCCGCCTCCTTCAAACAATATATAAGCAGTTTTTACAAAACTTCTGGATTGCTCCTGCGTCGGTTTTTGCTCAGTCAAGGTCTGAAGGATGATTGGCGAAACGTTAGCAAGTTCGGTGGTAGATAAACCAACGCAGGAGGAATCCAAAAGTTTTGTGAAAAGTTTTACAGTAGCCCATGGAAATTTCTTTGAAAAATTATTATAGTATTGAATTTTTTTTTCCGAAACAGCTCTTTTCCAGGTAATGGTAAGAGAGGTATATTTGATTTTTATATAAAATTGGCTCAGGGTACTCTGTATAACATGTCCTAAAATGATTCGCCTCTATTGGTCGCTTTTTGGGTTTTATAATGTTTTACTTAGGAAAAGTGACCTTTTATGTTCGCGAAAGATGTTTGAAATAATTTCAAAAAATTAATGTGAATTTTTTTTTTAATTTTGGGACCTAACCCAATGAATTGTTTGTTAGTTTCCTTCAAAATTGATAATTGAAATATTCAACCAACAAAATTGTTTCTTAAATAAAGTGAAGCACGATCCGGTAGTACCGTTTTGAGTAATTACTCCGTCTAATTAACTTCCTTCGCGAGTACCGCCTTGCAGTTGCGTCTCTGAAAAGTAATTATTGTTAAAATTAAAATTTAGCAATTTATCGTCCATAAACATCGGGGGGGAATGTTTTTCCTGGCGCCATTAACGGTGCTCTATTTGCAGGCAGAAGGTCCTCCGGTACAGATGGAGCCGGTCGACCTGAGTGTCAAAACACCGATGGTGCTCCAGGTTCCCAAGTTCCCGCCACAGAAAATGAAAAACCCACCGCCTGCGGTCAAGATCCAAACGAAACCACCTGGTAAGTTCAGGCTATAGTACCACCTGCTTCATATCGAAAAGAACTACGTTAAGGTCTGGTGGGACTGTCGTCGGGATGGTTGCCCATTGATATCCGCTCACAAATAATGGTCATAAATACAAGAAAAACGTTTATATTGGATTAAATTTGACAACGAAGTTGATAACTTTTTCTCTACATACTTACAAAATAAGTCAGAATAAGAATTTAAATTTCTTGTTTAAAATGATTGATGCATCCACAGTAAACAAAATTCTTAATAATATTTAAACTAATTTTATTGATATTACTGATAAATACATTGCGCACATTATAAATTGCGGCATGGAATGAAACAAGCTCGTGATAAAAAATTGAGTTCTGTTTTAGTGCTTTTAGATTTTTCGAAGGCATTTGATACAATTAATTGGTGGCTAAATTGCGATTCTACGGTTTTAATATAAAATCTTCTAATCTTCTCAATCATCCTTAATTTTTAGATTTCAATAATTTTTTTCAAATGGCAATTACTCGGAGAAGATTGGAATTCTATCCGGTTTCCCACAGGTCCACTACTTTTCGTTATTTATACTTCTGATATTTTAAGATCTTTAAAGTTCTGTGAAATGCAAGCCTTTGCGGATGACACACAAATTTATTCCAGCTTCGACCTTCGAACTTTAAATCAGATGTCTCAAGAGCATATCTTAAAACTTGATCCAAGTAAATCATGTGTTATGGTGTTTGGGAATGATGAGAATATTAACTTCCTGAAGAACAAATTATATATATAAATAAATTTTCAAAATTGTGGGAGTTATCTTAATCAGCAAACTTATATTCAAAGCATACCGAAAAATTTTTTTCAAAAATCCTTTGCCTCCATGAAAATTTTACATAATGATAGACATAATTTATGTAAACTGAAACGAGATGGTACAGAATGCATGTATTAGGTTTATTTGTCTATGGTTTGAGGAAATTTGATCATTTTTCACACTTACATACAATGAAATAAAATAGCTCAAAATGAATGAGCGCAGAATCCTACATTTCTTTGTTTAAGGTAATAAATACTCGTAATTCTTCAGTTTCCAGAAAAAAATCGTTTAATATTTCGTAACAAAAACGTAAAATATAAAAAATGTCTTCTGAAACTCTATTAACTGGCTCAAACTAAAATATTGTACCAGCATATCACTGAGTTCCGAAATGTTATGAACCCAATTAATTCCTCTCCAATTGTTATAACCTAAAAGTTACCGTATTGTAATGATTTTTATTTTACTCATTTCCACAGGTACAATTACAGTAATTTCTCTAGATAACTTTTTTATGGGATTAACATAGTGTTTTCTTTATGTTTACGATGCATTTTGCTCTGTCAAATTTCTTTCAGCATTCCAAAACATTCACGCCAGGATTATATTCCATATCATCCAATATGATTTTGAACGTTTGTCTAATGTAATAGAGCTTAAAGGCCTGTATCCTGTCGTATCAAGTTTCAACTTCAGAAACAAAACCATTCCGAAACCAGTCACAAGAAATGGCGCTTTTGGAAGGTGTCTTTGTTTTGATTTTTTAAAGCTCGAACATTGAACAATCTGCAAAGCATCAGTGACAATCTCCAGATACATTAGAACACCGCAACTCTATCCTTTGCTGCCTTAAATCCAGGAGCTCCGCTTTTAGAAAGGACTGTTATGAAAGCTATTTAACGACGTACTTTAGGCAAAGTTTTTGTAAGATCTATTTTACTTTTCTTATTAGTAGATTTCAAGGCATTTACAAAGGATATGGGATTGGATACCCATTGGATTAAAAGAGAATATCGACAAATATATCCGGGTAGAAGAGTTCCTTCAATAAATACAATTAAAAATGTAATTAAACAATTTGAAGACTGAAATAGTGTCACGGGAAGACCAGGAAAATAGAAAGAAATTTTGGTGAAGGCCTCAATATATTACTTTACTTTCAAGGTAAATGATTATAGTATTACTGTACTTGACATCATGACTTTGAATTCTACTTTCTTAATTGTTATATTTCATATTTTTTAAAAAATCCTGACTATTCTATACCTATTCCTATAGTAAAAAAAAAGTAAAATTCAACGCTAAAATATCATAAGTTTTACAGAGGCTCGAATTTTGCACTGAAATGTATAGGAGATCTCAAGAAAATGGAAATTTTCTAAACAAAATAATATTTACGGAAGAGGCTTCGTTCACGAGAGCAAGTGTATTTAATAGGAAGAATAAACATTTTGGTCCATCAATAATCCACACAAAATGCAGGCAGTGAAAATGCAAGGACGGACTTCAGTTAATCTACGGTGTGGTATGTTGAACAATAGGGTGGTCGGACCAATTATATACGCAGGACCCTTGAATGGCGAACGATATTTAAATTTCCTTGCAACAGCAATACAACTGTTGTTAGAAAATGTGCCAGTTAAGAATTATTTAAATTTAATTTTTCCGGTTTCCGATTATCTAAATATAGACTTTGGATAAGTAGGCAAGGAACTATCAAATCTCCTGCCAATAGCGCTGACTTGAATCATTGTGACATTTTTTGGGGGGATACTTAAAAAAAATATATTATAATAGGCCTCAAAGTTTACAAGCGATAAGACAAAGACTCAAAGCTAGTCGTGATTGGAAAATCAACTAACCCACGATGTTTTAAGAACATTAAGCATTTGCCGATCACTTACAAGGCAAACAAGTCTTCATGCAAGACATCGCAAATTTTTGAAGATGAGATACGGAAGTGGGAAGCAGAATTAAAGGGGAAGAAAATAATACTTCTCTGCACGTCCTCATATTCCAAATCTACGAAATATTGAATTGGCATTTTGAAATGATCGAGTCCGAAGTCAATTTTTTCATTAATATGCTAGATGCAGTCAATTTTATTAGTAAAGCTTGGAAAGAGGTGGCAGCAGAAGAAGATGAAGATGTTGATCTGGAACCATCACCAACCATTCAACAAGCCCTATATTCAGTTAAGCTGCCTCTCGAAGAAATGGTAAAAATACAAACCCAAGTACGAGATGCGTATTGGCATACTATAAAAATTGAAAAGAAAATGACCGATTATTTGAAGCATTAGATGTAATCCTTAAATATTTATATAAAATGTTCCTAAGTAGATGTTAAAATATGTATATAGAATAATCAAATATTACAGAACACACACGCATACTTCATCTGAACCGCGCATGCGAATAGTCCCGAATCGCTTCCGAATACTTGCCGCTAACATAAAGTTATCATTATTTTTATCGGGGGATAGGTAACCGAATCTTGGCCCTAACGCAATTAGAACTTTGGAGTTTCGGGTACGTCACAATCACGACATTTCGTGCTAATTAACCCGGGGTACGACCTCGGCGCCCAAAAAGCACTCCGACCCGCGGTACCGCGGCGAGCGACACGCAACCAGGGCGTGTTTTTGCTTTCGAAAAACCGCGAGAACGCCGCGACCGAGATAAGTGAAGATGCGCGAGCGCAGGGCGTGCGATAGTTCAAGTCGTGACCCGACGGCGGTACCCCAGAAAAACTACTAGACTGTGCGCTCCACGAAGGTGGTACCCACACGTTGCCGCGCCGTGGACCCGAGGTAAACGGAGCCCCGAAGATGGTACTGTACCATACCGTTACACCATTTATCAGAAGGCGCGAAAGACGATTTCAAAATGTCTATTTTTTTAGTTTTAACGAAAATTATTTTTTTCGGCATTTCTGTATCTCGGAAATTATCATCAGCTTCTTGTATAAAAAATATTGCTAAAAGAAGACCGTTATTATTATTATTATTGTTAGATAGATGGTTTATTGACCACTTTGCAATATCATTGTTTGTAGCAAGTCATACAAATGTAAGTATATGCTAACATAAAATTGTATATTGTATAAATCTAGATATACAATGTATATAACTTCACAATAACAGGACAACAAATAAAAAAATAAATTTATATGTATATAACACAGAACAACGCTATAATAGCCCTTACTTAGAAGAAAACTTTTAATTTTATGTTTAAAATGTTTTTCGTTTAAACGTTTAAAAGGTTTTAGCAATGCGTTATAAAGCTTTATATAAGGAGAGTTTTGTTTTGATTTCTGCAACCTGTATCTCGGAAGCACGAGATTATTTGCACTCCAGGTGCAAACTATCGGTCTTGGAGTGTATCTCAAGAACACTTTGAAATATAAATATACATGGAACCGTTGTTATTATTGTTATTGTTTTTTTTTTTTGAGAGGGGAAATATTCAAGACGACACTATCCTGACCGTACAGTCTATCGTGTGGGATTTTTACCCACTAAAACCCCCCCTTCTTCGCCACGTTCGATAGACCCGGAACCGTCTGTGGACACAACCTCAGGTGCATCTGGCGGTCGGTCTCCTTTGCCCTTCGAGTTCGTCTCTTTCCTTTAAACTCATAATGTTACGGATCATTTTGTGCACCACATTCCAATATTCCTTTTTTAGGTTCATAGTTTGAATTATATTATCCGGCGTCAGTGTGTACCCTATTTTATCACTTTCGTCCCTTCTCATATATCGGTCACAATCAGATATAGTGTGCTCTGCCGTGTCTTCCTCTGTGCAGTATATGCATACGCCCTGTAACATCAGTGTGCAGTCAAGGCTTGTGTTAAGAAATAGTCTATATCTCGATGCACACAATCTATCCCTCTTTTAATATTCTTTATCAGCTTCTTAGTCCACTGCGCTTTTTTTGTCTCTCTATCAAGGCTATTTGCCTTGCCCTATGTTTTTCTGTCCCTTTGTTCTTTGTGTTCTTGTATACATATTCGCTCTTTTATAAGTAAGTCCATAGGTAGGACACCAGTCACAACCTGAAGTGCAACCGCGGATGTCGTCCTGCAGGCTGATGCCACTCGCAGAAGCATGTTTCTTTGTGCGCTAAGGACTTTGTTTCTGTATTTTGCTTTCTCGATGGCTTTGCTCCAAATGGGTGCTCCATACATTATTA